CTCTGTGAAGGCATGCTGGAAATGGCGCAACAGCTGAGTCGCCCGCTTCCCCTCCTCTCCATTTTCATTTTATTATTTTGGTTCAGTGACATTTATTTTGCTGTAAATGCCCAATTTGCTATACCGTACATGTGTTTTACAGAGGGACTAGTAAACTAAAATCACATGTTATGGAGAAATCCTTTGGTCTGAAAACACAGACAACCTGTCTTTGCCTTTCAGCCTTCACTAGTTTAGACTTTGTTGTTCAGTGACAACCAGCAATAATATTTTTAGCCCCTGGCGTTCTCCTTCGCTGCAGGCTACCTTGTGAATTTGATCAAGAGATGCTCTTTAAATGAATTGACACCATGTGCTGTACATTTTGTATTAAGAAAAAAAGATGGGTAAAAGAGAGCACGGGACTTGACCTACGGTATCAGTACGCTGGAACTGATTGCTGCTGAGAATTTGTCATTGCTGCTGTTTGCATTATATTTAGAGAGGGAAGGGGTTATATATGTGGTCCAGCTCATCTCAGTTTTACAGCACCGTTTTAGACACCAAACCTGATAGGGCTTTGTATGATTAAGCTTCTTAAGAAGACACACTCACTGTCGGCCTTCTGTACACATCCTGTGTTTGCAAGGGATCCCAGTAAACAGCTGTCTAAACAGGGCCCAAGCAAGGCAGAAAAAGCAACCTAGGGAATAAATAAAATTTCATGTATGGTAAACAGTAAATACTGATCTGCCTTAGTCATATGAACTGGTTTGGCTGAGTTATCCTTCTCCACGTCTATTAAGTTTAGTGCTTCTGTGAGAACATTCAGAGCTTCCGTTAAATACAGTACTGTATGTCTGATCCCAGGATGACACTCTGATATTCCAAAAATAGTTTAATAAATAGAAATTCCAAGATGTATCATCATAAGCCCGTAGCTTGATTACGAAATCTGCCACGTTATGTAAAAAGTATTGGTTATATAATGGGATTTCTATCAGTCTAGTGACACAAGTGCAAATATTAGAGCATTATTAGGAAACCGACCTCTCTCTGACTTTGGATCTTTTATGCTGGAAGTCAGAGAGGAAGTAGCTTATGTATATACGGGGATTTAGATGCTGTAATTTCAAAGGTGTCTAATGACTCTGAGCTAGTTTGGGAGTTTTGTTCCATATAAATGTAAATACATTTAAAATGGTACTGAAGGAAGAAACTGGAGCATGGTAAGCTCCTTCAGAGTTTCCTTCGTGATGGCCCAGACTGAAGCTGTTGCTGATGAGAGGGTCAGAGGTGTTTCTAAGATGAATGTTCTTCATCTCTTGAAATACATTGAGAAAAAGCTGAGGAGCTATAGTCTGTCTTTATCTGCTCGAAAGCAGATAAAGGTCCTGAGCTGGCAGAAATCGGGACTTACTAGCGTGTGGACATATGGAAGAGCAGCAGGGATTTCCTCCAGGCAGAGCAATGTCCATACACGCATCACAGGCGGCTCTCACCGTGGTTAGATAGCAGGGCTGAGCCCTGGGGAAAGGCCAGACAGGCAGCAACTACTTGGGGAGCCGTGGGGTTGTGTGGAAAACCTCCCCACCAGGGAGCAGAAGCTTTAGAACGTGGGAGCATGTCAAAAGAGGTGCTGTGAGCTACCTGGAAAAGAAAGGCATTGAAGTGCAATCATTTTATAACTGAGAAGCTGATTTTGCAGCTTGCACAATTTTTTGAAAGCCTTAAGTAGGTCACTGTCTGAAAGTGCATGGCCTGATGTTACTGATGGCTGACCATCTGTCCCCGTGGGCTTTCAAATCAGGAGAGCATCACGTTTACTAAGAGCGGGCAGTCTATACGGTGGAGGTTTTAGTATGTAAATTAAATGAACCTTCTGACTTTTCAGCCTGAGTTAAAAGCAGACTGAAAAAAGAGGCAAATTCAACTTCATAAGTAACGTAACTGAATTAAATACTTCAGTTTCACGTATTTTGGGGGTTAGTTGAAGTGGAGCAGACTGTAAAAGGCTGACGTGGTCTTTAGTGTCTCTAGTTCAAAGAGGCAGTTTTCCCGGTAGTGCTGGTAACCCTCCAGTTTGTTCTGACACACCTTAGAGAATTCAATCTCACAATGCTCTGCTGAGCAGGTAACTCCTGTCCTCCTTTTATTAGTGTCCTCCTCACTATGGGAGCAGGAGAGGGGAGCTGGATGGAGGGAAGCTGGTGGGGAGATGGCACAGAATGGGCTTCCCAGGGGATGGATGCTCAGTGTCACAACATCTTCTGTGCCCTTTGGTGGGGAACTGCCTACCTGTAAAGAAGTGAATCAGGTGCCCAAAGTAACAGCGCAAGCTGTAGCCCAGTCTGGTCAGGGCCCAGATCCCTCCTGTCCCTGGGCTTTAGCTAGAAATGAGTCATTGTCCCTCACCAAATCTATAGATGCACGTAACCAGAGCAAAGGACGGCTGCTCTTGCTGCTTCACAGACTGTGTTCTGCAAATAGGGCTGTGCACGTGGCACCTGATGCCTTCACTCCTGTGCTGCACAGGGCTTTCTGCCGACATCGTCCCAGCTGGGCTTTCAACTTTCCCAACAGGGAGCTAGCTCTGTGCTACCAAGGCACGCTGGCAAAATACACTGGTTTAAAACATGACATGAAAGTGCTATTAATGCTCAGAGAGATGCTGGATTTTTTCCCCTTGTACAGGATGTGGGGAAAAAAAAAAAAAGAGAGAGAGATTTTTAGCCCTGTAAGATTAAACAATCATCATGGTTTTAAGGACTTAATCTGCTGGCATGCAGGCTGTTGGCTGATAAGTTTCCGAGCCTGAGTGTAATTGGATGCAACATCAGATTCAGTTGTGGGGGCTTTCCCCAGGGCTTTTTGTTTGTTTCTTCATTTTTAACTCACTGTGGAGTTGAAGCGATCTGTCCCTGGAAATGCCTTTGGGTGTGAAGCTGTAACGCTGTGTTTCAGCAGCACCTCGCTGGAGACCACCGCTCGGGGAGGGCTGGGTTGGCGGGGGGAAGGTTCCTCAGTGTATGAATTCAGGCTATTGTTCGAGGCACACATCTGCCTTAAGAAATCGCACGGCACAGGCCGTTACTTATTCAGATGCAGAAGCTCCTTCCGTCCCACAAGACGGCCCATTCCAGTCACATGCCCGAGGTCTCGGCAGAATGGGCTGCAGCTGCTTCAAATCTGCTGTCTAACATCAGAAGCAGTTGGACGAACTGTGCCGTACTGACTGCAGTCAGGCTCCCGGGCGCCGAGGAAGACAGGGAAAAGATTTGGGACCCCAGCGCTATGTTCTCGGAGGATCTGTGGCTGGAAAATGAGAAAACCTGTGCCGTCGTTCACAAGTCGAAGCGAGGAAGGAAGCGCCAAGAGCTCCTGGCTGTGGCCCTGGGGGTGAAGGTGGGAGTCAAGGGGGCACTTTTGTGGCAACCTCTGAAACTCTTTGCCTATTCACAGATCACCTCCTTGGTCAGAAGAGCAGCCTTAACTCAAAACGACAACCACTTCAACTATGAAAAAGCACACAATTTTAAGGTAAGCACACAATTTTAAGGTAAGCACAACCTCCTATTAATTTTGGCTAAAAAGTTCCAGTTAGATGCCTTTTATTTTTTGCTGTGATGGGCTTTTCATATACTCCTCTATACCAGCTCTGAAAAAAGTGTTGAAAAAAGCATTTTTCTTTCTACTTTAAGTTACCTTGACTGCATTTTTAATATGCTTTTACCCAGGCCCTTAATCCAAATAGTGGTTTTGCTGTTCAGCACACTAATTGACTGGCATTTTATCTCTTTTTGCCCAGATTCAGTTTGCTTTTTTATTCAGAAACAAAATACTTCATACTGATTGTCTTAATCTTAAGGTGTATCCATTTTTAAATGAGAAAAAAGCCACTTTTCAAAATCTAGCTGTTACCAGAAGTGAGCGGCATTTTACCAGTAAACATATTGGACGATTTATGTTTTCAGGAGAAGTTTAGGGAGCGTGAGGGCTCCCTAACAGTAAAGCAGAGCACAGCGGTGGTATTGTTTCCTAGCTTTTGTTCCACCACCATATGCTAAGGAAATGCTCTCAGAGTCCCACAGAGCTGTAGGATCTGAGCTTGTGTTTGCTTGTCAAACTAAACCAAGTAGCTGGACAAACACAGAGATGTTTAAATGAATCCTCTTTTTGCTGTCTTATACTTAGAGAATCAGATTAGGGGTGGTTTTTTTTTCCCCAAGTGCTGTGTCTGGCGTGCTGCAGCAGGGAAGTGACTCAGCTTTGGAAACAGACCTTCCAGGCAGCTTGTACTAAAATGTTTTGCCAAAAAGGACTGTGCTGGTTTCAGAGCGTGCCAGCCAGTTACCGTATCTAATGCTGTCAGATTGTGGTTTGGTGCTTATCGTGATGGATCCAAACAGAATAAGAGGCAGTAACAAGACGGGAAAGGAATGCATCTCAGCTTTGAACCTCAGTTTACTTAATGCTCCTTGAGGATGCTGATCTGGGTTGCTGTCAGAATAGTTCAACTCATTAGCAGAAAGAGAATTTCCTGATACTCATCTCAGGCCTGTCAAAAAAGGAGAAGTGCAGATTAAAATGATTTCACTAATTTCTCAGTTTAGCAAAAAAGCTTCACTTCCTATTTTTCCACATACTCAGTTGTGCAGGCATTGCTCTCCTCTGCAGTGCTTCCACTGTACTTGGTAAATCAATAGTTTAATATTAGTGAGCAAAGCAAATAATAGCATCCCTCTTCTCATTCCCCCTCCTTGACCCAGTCTATAGAAAAGTCAATATTTATCTCACTGATCAGCACTGAAGAAAATAGGCGAAATACTCTGTGTTTTCTTACTTGATTAAACCAGCTTCCATTCTTTCTGGGTTTTGCCCTCATTGTCATTTTAATATCAAAACTATTTTAGTTTAACTAGAAAATATTTTCTCATGACTGAGACTTTTTTCCACTTTGACCCATGCATTCTTTCCTCTTCAAAATTCCCCTTGTTTTGGCTTTGATTTATATTTGGACATGTGCCCAGTTAACTTTGTGTTTGCACAATCTAGCTGTTGTACAGTTTCTGTTTTAGAAGAGTCATAGTTTAACTATAAAATCACATGATGAAAAAATATATCTGTATTCAAAAGCTTGACAGCAGAAAAATATTGTTTTATCCAAGTAAAGGCAATAAAAAAATCTAGAGAAGAAACATTACAAAAAATAAATCGTCCAGAAAGGCCTGTCAAAAGTGTTACATTTACTTAATGAACAAATATATTCACTATGCAAATACAATTAGTTTTTCAAAGAAGTGTATTAAAACATGTCTAGTTGAACAAAACATGTGGCTAGAATGCTTAGAGTAGAATATTCAGATTTTTAAGAATGTCTAAATTAAAGTCTAGTGTCTTTCATATACTCCATATTCATTACATGAAAGGGTTAAGAAATTATTTAAAAGAGAAAGAACGGCTGTATGGATCTTAGGGAAAAATTATGAATGGCTTTTGACACCACTCAGGCTGTGATATGCGATTTATCTGGAAGAGAATGCTGCTTTGCAGGCATTCAGAGAGTTGTCTTCCCCATTTTAAAGTGAATACTGACATGTATTGTATCATTCATCTCAGTTCTTGGGGACAAAGGTTATGTGTGACATTGTCCATCATAATCTTGCCATAGGCCATTCTTCATGAACAAACAGACACTGTTTAGCTTTTGTCCTTTCTTTGATGAAGAATCTTAAAAATGAAGGGTACGTTTTTGGCAAGGTTGGTCTTTGTACCTCTTACATCAAAGATCTTATCTACCAGAGGAGAGAAGGAGCAAAAGGAAGAAGTAGACTCAAGACACAAATGCAGAGCAAGGATGGATCTCCCTCCGTCCTTTCCAAGCTAATATAAAAAATGAAAAAGAAGCGCTGGAGTTTAGAGAGTGAGGGTGCCAGGTTACACTGTTCTGAGCATCCGTGCTTTCTCCATCAGCCTCTCTTCCAAATTTTGAGACAAATGAACCAAAAAAGATTTAGTATCCAGACTGACTTGTTAAGCTGAGCACACAACACAGTCACATGGATTTAGGTTTGGAGCTGGCGTCTGGCTGGCGGGACAACTTTGCATAAGCCAGTGTAGACATACCGTAATTCAGGAAAGAGAATAAATCTCTGAAGCCCTGTTTAGAAAAACACAGAGGTATTTCTGTAACTATGTGGGTGTCAGCCTAACTGGATCTCAAAGTCCTCTTGCATCTCATTGCAGTTAGGAACCAGCAGGCTCTTCAGGCTGTGCTTTACCTGCCAACTTCAGTGGGGTCCCAGCGGGTGGTGAGGTCACCTCTTGCCCAAGGGCAGAAGTGTAGAGTCTGGGGATGCTCCACACATTTTGTTCTAGGCTGGGAATTCATTGAGAGGGCCTCTATGCTGCTTTAGATGAGCAAATACTTCTGAATAATGTGTATTTATCACAATATTGTGTCTGTTTGCCACTATTGCATGGGCAAATGCCATTTGCAGGGAGACTAGTGGAGTAAAAGCAGCTGATTATGGCTAAGTCAGGAGATCTGCTGTGAGAAAGGAGGCTCTGGGATAAATTTCTCTTTGTGTTAATCACTGCAGATAAACACTGCTTCTGGCAGACAAAGGGTTTGGGGAAGGCATTTTTTACAGGCATCATGAAGATTATGTGTATGTATTTAAACAAAAATAACAGCAGTCAGCTCTTCTTCCCTGCAAAGAGCTCAGGTTCATTTTTTTTGGAGTCCACAGGAGTACAATGTGCATGTATTCAGGCAAAAGTCTGAAAAGTCTCTTATTTTCTTTGGATGCAAATAAAAGTCTTCAAACTCAGTCAGATAAACAACAAAATTGTCTCAGAAACAGCACAACATAATGCCAGTAAAAAACATGTGTTTCAAATCAAGGCAATTTTTAGTTTGTTTCTGCAGTATTGCTTATTATTATTTTATTTTGCCACTGTATTGGTATTCCTTAACTGTGGTCTTAGTTTCTCCCACTGTGAACACTGTTTGGACTGAAACTGTATGAGATAGCATCCGCAGGGGGAATTCTGCCATTTGGGAGCAAGGGCACCGAAGGGCTGAAAGGAGAAGGTGAGAGCGCAGGAAGGTAGTAAGAACAGGCACGCAGTCCAGTATTGGATGAGCTCGCCCAGTGGAGAAGAGAGGATAAATGTAAGAACTTTTCATTGAACGGGCTGGAAAGGAAATAGAGTGGAGAAGACAGGAGTTAGATATCATGGAAAGATGAAAGACTGAACAAGAAAAGTAGGATGTGTAGTCTGAAACATCATGTTTTCACCCGTATGAAAAAATGCTTCCCTGTAAATTCTTCTTAAAAGTTGGAATTACATGTGGACTGTAGCCCAAGCAGCTCAGGCCTATGCTATGTGTACACAGAGAGGTCTCCTCAGACTGCAGGACAGGGTAGAGACCAAAAACAAATGGCTCTTGGTCATGTTTCAAAAAATCTAAGCCCAGGCCATCTGTAATCATGCCGTTACAAAAGATGTGTCAAAACCTAAAAGCCTATCTCAAAAAACTAGGATCTTCTCTTACCTCTCCTTGTTTAAAACATAAATGAGGCCAATCTTGCAGACAAAAGGCCTACTTGCCTTTCAAAAGTGTTATGTGCAAGCTTCAGGCTGCATTCGAGTGTTGTGTTCGTAAGAACACCCTTCATTATTTTTATGAAATTAATGGCAAGCTATAAGAGAGTTCAAAACTGCATCTTATGATATTTTTTCCATCTTCATCTAAAAGCTTGTGAAGATCCCCCTTTTTCAGTTAGAGCTAGCTAGTATTTCTCTGTTTCAGTTTGACCAGAAACCACCAAGACTCGCTTTTCTCAGGGCATTTCATTTGCCATTTGAGTTAAAATGCAGATCCGTGAAAAACTGAAGTGAATGGGTACAGAGAGCTAAACCTTTGAGGGCCATCAAGCTGAAGGGAGCAAGGGAAGGGTGCGCAGTCAGCGCTTCACAGATGCAGCCCTCAGTCAGCGTCGAGGACTGTTTCCCATTAATGACAGGAGGGATCAAGAAATAATCAACTACCATTTGCTAAATATGCCACAGCGAGATCATCTGAAACAAGCTTTATGTGAAGTGAGGAAGTAAGCCCCAAATATCCTAGCAACTGTGATGGGCTTCAAATGTGAAATTATGTGGTTTTAAAAATCCTGAATGAGCTTTTACAGCCACTTCTCACGAGGTTAGCTTTCGTAAACCGCTGCAAAGCAGAAGACATAGTTAGCTATCTTCCCACAGCAGATTTTCACCTACAATTAAACACAGGTGCAGACCTACTAATTATGTGGCTATCAGTCTGTAAATGGCAAAGATGCAGACATAATTAATTGTATCTGTAGCTTTGTCTCCACTGAAGTTCACACAGAGCATATGCCTGAAATTCAAGTCACCGGTAGAGCCATTCACTCCCACTAAAAGTTACATCTGAAATATAGTAAGATATAAAGTAAGATGAAAAGAGGAAGAAGTATGTGTCTATATCAGTCTGTCTATCTTAAACTTCATTGCCAAGTGTTATTTTCTCAGAGATACACATTTTTCTGAGAGGCAACATACCATTTCAAAAAATAAATACCACCAGTCAACCATTCCAGTTTTGACCTTTTGCTAATAAAAGGGAGGAAGAATTACTATTGTTTTAAGCTTATTCATGCAATTATTGACTAGGAGTAGTTGGTCAGGAGTCATTTGTGGTCAGGCCCACATTTTTATCATGAAATCAGAAAGAGAGGTCTGTATTAAAATCACAATACTTCATCTTCCTGGGGAATGAACTCAAGAGTACAGGCTTGTGTAATCTTGCAGACAAATGGGGCGAAAACATTAGCAAGCCAAATGCTTGGCTTAAAACTTCACCAAGTTTATCTGAAAAGGGCAATGACCATTTTTCACTCTATGAGAAGTAAAGAGCAGCTTTCGCCATCCCAGGAGTGGAGAGAAGGGAAAGAAAGCATTAGCAGCCGGCGTGTGCGTGATTTATGTTTTGTTAAGCTCAATTAAGTCTCTGGCCAGAACTAGCTCATACCATGGCCATTCACACAGGTGTAGACCTCACAATTTACTCTTCCTTTCAATGAAAATGGAATGCTTACCTTACCGGAACATGCATCTTAAATAAAAAGGTCTTCTGCCATAGCCTTTGAAAAAGCAGAGGAGGAAGCAGCGGTGATATGCAAAACCTGGCTGGGGAGCCGTCGGCTCTGTCAGCACGCAGGCCGTTTTATTCTTCCTTATTTACTCTTGTGTGGACTGTAGCAAAATGAGCTTTGGTCTGCTGAAAATGAGCCCACTGGCATCTTTCCTCAATGTGAATTCAGTTTGCTTACTAGAATGAGGAAAGGTGTCACTTGCTTTTATCATTAATGGGTTCCAGTGTGCAAAATCAGATCATTACCCAACTGCTACCTGGGGGAGCTGCACAAATTGTTCGTCCCTGATAAAAATTTACAGCAATCACCTTCAGTTTTGTTCAGTGTTGTTGCACAGAAATGCGCACGTAGCACTATACTCAGATAGTGTGTCTAAACCTGAGCAGTGCTCTTAAAACACACATCGTGCGCCAGATCTGTGGTCGCACACATTGATGGGGAACCAAAATGTGGTGCGTTGGAAAGGGCTTCCTGTCACTGCATTTCCCCAATCAAGTGATTTGCTGAAGAGTGTTAGCATCTCAGAAACATTCCTGTTTTGTTTGAACTAGTGAAATAAAAGCACGGACTACAGTTCTTTGGATTATTAGTTTTACATTTTTTTCCTTTGACTAGTGAACCTGGTTTCCTCCCCACTGCTACAGCTAAAATGTCAGCTAGCAAAAATGATTTGTTTTCAGTGTTGTACGCAGCCTGGTTCTCTGTTATGTTAAGCCTATTGAAACATAAACTTCAAGATCAAAGCAAATTTCTGTTCCCATGGTTTATTTCATCTAGACTTCGAAAAGATGTAGGCATTGGGTGCTAAAGATGTCCTCCTACTGAGTCTTCTGTTGTTTATCCATTTCAGTTGTTCCATCTGTCAGACCATCTGCCTGCCAATGACCCCATTTCTTTTTCTTTTTTTCCCCCCATTTGTATTACAGGTCCATACGTTTCGAGGTCCACACTGGTGTGAATACTGTGCCAACTTCATGTGGGGTCTCATCGCTCAGGGAGTGAGGTGTTCAGGTAGCCCTTCAACATTTTCTGTCATTCTCTTGAAGTGCTCAGACATGTCTCCCACCCCCTGCTTGCACTCGCTGCAGGAGAGGGGGTAGGGCTTACTTTACAGAACAAGGCAAGAAATCCTCCCGCACAAGTTAAAGTGTTGTCCTTTTCCCCATTAGCTGATTTAGAAATGAAGCCATCAGCTCTTGGTCGCTGAAGGCAACATCCTTTCAGTAGTACCTTGGTCGTGTATGTCCCCTGGTGTATACATTAAGAAGTGATCTTTTAAGTTATCCCTCAATGTTCTTATGTTTTAAGAAATAAGGCCTGAAAATGGCAGAGCCAGACAGCAACTAGGCTTCACAACTCATCCTTTTTGCCACCAATTGCCAAGAAGTGCCCTTGTCTGCAAAAAAACCTGTTAACCTGTTTCCTACAAAAATACCATATGTTGCTGTAATCGTGAAGCATCCCACCTTGGGTGAAAGTGAAAAATATGGCCTTCATTTTCCTAGAAGGACTGGTTTTCTGGTGTCTCTGTAACTGTCTTCGCATTTTAGTGGTGCTTATTTGAATTTTTTAGTTCTTTTGTGAAACATAATTATGTTGGAAAAATGCAATAATCATCACATCCTGAGTTTTTTGAATGCAGCAAGTGGAATAGTATTTGGTGCATTGAAAATGGGGTTTCACTTCTATGGACCTTCAATCCTTTCTGTGTCTCACCTGAATATGCTCTGTCTTACCTCTCCCTGCCCTGCCCTGCAGGCATTCCTGATCTCAGACTGGCACTGAACGCATCTGACTCTGACATCTGCCTTTCACGGGTAGAGGAGGTTGTGGGAGGGTGATTGTTACCTAAAGTTTAGACCACAGTCTGCAGGATCAAAATACCTTTCACAAATGCACAAATGCATTTCAAAATAAGTGCAATCTCAGCTACTGCTACATCTTGTCTGCCCGTAGATGAGTAATGGTAACACAAAGAATCCGAGAAGGACAATAAAAAAGAGGGAAATGAATAGTAGTTTGATTTTTCAAGATATTTGATATTTGATGTTGAACACAAGTGTGCAAAACTGACCCCGCTAATGCATAGCACTGTATTTTGTTCACATACATAAAATATTAAACTTAACAAAATTTTTGTTTATTTAGTATGAAACATAATACTCTCCCTCATTAAATTACCAACATTTAACTCTAAGTAGACAGATGCATTTGGGTTTAACTTCATATACTTGGGGAGCAGCACTGAAAACAGTGCAGGGAGGATCCTAACTGCAGCTGCTCACATTTGTTTGGATTTCATAGAACAGAAATGTATTATGCAGTAGTAAGTGTATGGAGAAACACACAAAGCCCCTCCCAATTCCATTAAATGTGTAGGTGTGTTTGTAGTGATTATATGATTTTGCTTGATTAATATTTTATAGGGAATAATACTGAAAAGTGCTGCAAGTGATAGTCATGTTTACATATTACATTCAGGCAGTAAATCAACATGAAAAATACAGTAAATAAGTTGTTAGTGATGAGGTTAGACATGTCAAGTTATCCCAAAAGGTACCGTCAGTGATGGACCTGACTGAGAAGACATTAAAATAGGAATCAGAGTTATGTGAGATAATGTAATTCATGAGGGTTGTGTTTGCTTTACTGAGGATTATAAATCCATTTGGCTGAATGTTTTAATCTGTGAGAAAAATTCAATTCATTGAGATCAGGCAGTGGTGTTTAATAGAAACCCACCCATTCAACCAGGAGTAGGATTTGACTCTGCAGTGAGACACCAAGAACCGTTTGTAAAATGAATCACTTTTTTTACATCATGCCCTTCCCAGCATTTTAAATGCGTAAACTGACATACAGACTAAATACAGGGGACACTTTAGTCACCAGTGAAGTGATGAGACAGGGATGGGGAGGCTGCTGATGTGGCAGAACGAGCCAAAATGCGACACTGCAGGTGTGAGGAAGGGGAATGGGAAGGGAGGCACTCTCCCAGTTTGAGTGCTCAGGTGAAACTTAGGTCCTTCATCTGTTAGCAGCCCTCAGCCACAAGCTGGCCAGCAGAAAGCAGTCATTTCTGTGGTAATTTTATAAAAGGTTAAATAAAAATACCCAGAAGTTAAGTCACAGACATTCAGCTGCAACACTCAGAGCTACATGTCTGGCGGTGAACTGACCCAGACCACACCAGCGTCACCTCTGGCTCAGAGGGGTGTGAGGGACATCCAGAGCTTTTATAGCTTTTTAACAACTCCGCTGGAGTTCACTTTGCTCACCGTAAGTTTTTCACAGATTTCTGTGCTTCTCTTTCTCATCTCCATCTTATTTATTCTAGCTTTACTGACTGATGAGGAAGTTATGCCCCTTACTTGATGTGGCCCAAGGAAATAAATTGTTAGGCAAGCCCTATCAGTGTTACTATTAATTAATTAACCTGGGTAACTTTTTTTACAGACTGCGGGTTGAACGTACATAAGCAGTGCTCCAAATACGTGCCCAACGACTGCCAACCAGACCTCAAGAGGATAAAGCGAGTCTACTGCTGTGATCTCACCACACTAGTGAAAGCCCACAATGCCCAGAGGCCGATGGTTGTGGATTCATGCATTCGAGAGATCGAAGCAAGAGGTTTGTGTGCTTAGGAAAGCAGTGGACACAATTAAATGAAGATGACTTGAATTACGTGCTAAGCTAGCACGGGATAATATGCTCATGCACGCTGAAGACAGGATGAGAGAAGGGGTTTTTTAGTGTAGGTGATACTTTGCTTCGCATTAACTAGTAAAATTAAATCGTGGCATTTCGTAATGCAATTGCCTGAAATGCTTTCTGAAAACATGTCAAAACATGTATTACATTACACTTCTGAAAGGGGTGAACTTTAAAGTGAACTTTAAGTTCACATTTATGTGTCTTTTTTCATTATTTTCTTTTAAAGTATCTAGGGACAGTTACAATTTCAGAGTAATCAGTTTAGATCAAATTCCTTATTAATAACCTTTCCTGGCATTATGGGCAAAAGAACACAACTGACTGGACGAAGTCCAGTGAGGTGACAGGCCATGACGTTCTGTGGTAGGTTACAAACTGCACAAGGTTTTGCAAGATGCTCGGCTACTGATTGATGGACACCATGGCTCAGGTGGCGTGTAACAGCCAAAACTCCAGCTTGTGACAGGTTTTTGGTACACAGACACGTGCCAGATTGAAGAAATACCATATGCCCTGCAATGCAACACAGTAACGATCAGGTATTTTTGCTTTGGATAACAAATGTGTACGTTGTGCTCCCAGTAAGCCAAATTTCCCTGTTGGTCATAGCTTCAGCGCAGGAATCCCATAATGCTGAACTCATGGCATCCCAGTAATCTGCATGGCAACACACTGCTATGAGCCACTGAGGTTTCAAAGCCACACATCATCTACTGAAATGAATCAAAGATTTACAAGTAAATCCCCTGCACTGCTCCTTAAAGCTTTGCCAGGATTATATCATCATTGCAAGGACAAATAGAAAGAACAGTTTGGACTAAGACAGAAGAGCTTTACTCTGATGATATAGCAGGAAGCTACATTGCATTTGAGATCTAATCACTTACTTGTACATTTATTGATTAAGATAAAGTCTGCTGCCCGTTCTCTGGGTTTTTTCAATGTCTTTAAATTTTTTTCTTTAATTACCATAGAACTGTGTAAGATACTGATTTTGTTCTTAAGAAAACAAAGCATATTTAGATCTTATAAGTAAGTTAGCACTGTGTATAGTCATAATAAGGAGTTCTGGGATTAAAATAAGTAATGTGTGTGTAACCATTTGGCTAGCTCTGCCTGCTCTGCTGGGCTGCTATGCATTTCATGCTAGTGTGGAGCTATGAGGAAGAGTTGTGCAAGTGAGCAGGTCTCTTCTGGTGAAAGAACTGTAGAAAGGATGTGCTGATGTGTAGAAGAACAGTATCTGTCACATCTGTCAGCTGTGTATAAGTAAAAGCTGACAGCAAAACTGGGAACAACTGTGCTCATAGTGAAAGACAGTCTCTTGCATTGTTATTTATCATTAAGCAACTGGTAAAAGGAAGAGAGACCGCTGAAGCTGTATTAATTATATCCAAATCCAGGAAAATCTCTGGCATAAAATGAATAAATCATAGCATCACATGCCTCACCATTAGCAAATTGCATTTTGCTGTGACATAATCAACTGTGTACCTACCAAAATCAGAAAGTATAAATTCTAAAATTCTCGAATCCTTTAAAAAACAATTTAAAATTATCTTGATCCTTCCTGAAATGCTCCAGAGTTTCACATTGCAATTAATATTTTGCTACATTTAGGTCTGTTGTTCTTGCTCTATTGTTTTTAAGCCTGAATATTTGTTGAGTACTGAAGTGAAGTTAATCTAAACCTTTTTGTTTCAGGTTTAAAGTCCGAGGGCCTCTATAGAGTCTCAGGCTTCACTGAGCACATTGAAGATGTGAAAATGGCCTTTGATCGAGGTATGCCCCTTTTTAATCTTGTACAGTTTTTAATCTAAACTTTCTGTTCCAGGACTTTTCAGTTCTTTTGGGGTTTATTTAGGTACCATGCTAATGAAACTGCCAAATAAACAGAAGTAGAGAAAGCAACCTGTCCTGAGTTCTTAAATTAATCTATAGAGCTTTTCATAAGAAGTCATATCTCAGAGTTGGAAGGAATAATTAAACAGTAAGTAGGCAGAAGGCTAAGTGCTCAAGGGACTTGATGATTGCACAACGTAGCAGATAGCCTCAGCTCCTAGTTCAAGTATGAACCTAGATAGTACCAGGGGAGAGTTCTTAGTCCTATCTTTAGTAGACTCAGTGCTTTACAAAACAATAATCCGTTTATGAGTTTAAGAACCAGGAACTCCAACTGGAAAGTCATTCTGCAGGTAGCCTCGTAGAAAGCCTTGCACCACTGTGCATGTGATCGTGTCCACACGACAGATGAGAGCACCATTGAGGAGACTGGTTGTACAGCGTATTGAAAAGCTAATGATTAAAACACTGCCTGATTACCACGCTAGTAGCTCTTATGAATTAATTGAGCTGATTATGTTGGTTCTAGTTGTGCACAGTCTTTGCACATAGGCCTAATTTTAAGAATATATGTAAGTGGGTGCAGAGTAGGGACTTCCATCAACAGAAGGCACATTTTCAAGTACGTTGAAGAAGTTACATAAATATTTGTCTCAGAGGCAGAGACTGGGGGCCCTGGGGGACCATGGGCAGGAGGTGTGGGGGCTCCAGGAGAGGCTGGGCAGGGCCAGCTAGGTCTCTGGGTGGCACATCTCATATTTACTGTGCCTGAATACTTTTTTATTTGGAGATAGTTGGTCATAGTTGGCAAAGAAAGTTCAACTAGGAATTTCCAGAATGATTGTTTCAATGCTGTAAGGAAAGATCCTTTAAAACATAACGCATTTTTAAAATGTGTTGGATGCTGCAGTTGTGAACATATGCACATGTAGATCAGCCATGATTTGGCCAGAAGAGATGCACAGCAATACGACAGCTATCAGAGGGAGATAATGTGTTGCAGATGTGCCACATGAAGCAGTGCTACTGAGAGGGTCGCCGCCCGCCTAGGTCCCACTTGGCTCCCTACAGGTAGATCTGGCCTGGCAAACTCTTTTGTTCTGTGAGCTGAATCTCCTCCAAGGAGAAGCACAGATTGAAGAGGGAAAAGTTTGAAGAAAGCGGGTGGAAATTTCTGTCTGAGCATGAGCTGAATACTGCTGCAACTATAGTCCTTTGCAAATGCTTCGAACAATTGAAGCCAGTTCAATTTCATAGACAGCATATCTTTTATTATTACAGCATGCCTATATTCATGCCATGATCTGGTGGCAATACACACTTGAATTAGACCCATAGCAAGGAAGAAAGTGTAATCTACTAACAAAGAAGGCAGCACCTAGGCACGGGAAGAGCAAGGTCACTAGCAGTATCAGATCTCCAAAAGAAAAAGAGCGTGGGTAAACATGGAAGCAGAGAAAGCAAGAACTGAGTTTGCTTGCAAAGGCTGTGGGGAAAACCTTTGGGCATAAATTGATAAAAAGCTGTGTCTTCATTTTCATGTAACAATCTCATGGAGGAAAATGGCTAAAAAAGGAAAATGAGAGTGTTGCCATGAATAGTGCCAAAAACAGCAGAAGGGCAAACAGAACCTTGTTATGAGAATTGCACTGCAAGAGACCATGGCTGAGACCAGAAGCTGAGAATTTTCAAAAGTTTCCAGTTCTGAAAGTATTTCCTCCCTGAACTGAGATGGAAGAGCAGCAGGAGTTGGGTTGTTGTTGGTTTTTTTGCAGGAAGGGACTTTTTTGTTTTGGCTTGTGGTCTGTGCAGCTAGAAGGTGATTGTCAGCTGGCAGAAAGCTGAATTGGCAGGACACTTCCAATCTGACAGCTCAGGGCTTGCTTCCCTGTCAGATTCAAGTTTACAGAGACAGCCTCTCTTTTGCATCCCAGACCCACAGGCAGGAACATTGCTTTTCTGCTGCCCAGTTACCACAGCTTAGCCCTAGAAGTCAGAGCAGCAAGGAGTGGACTGTCTCAAGGGTGTGCAGTATGCCAGATCTCTGTCCCAGGGTACAGAGCTGGGAGAGAAGGGAGCTGAGAGCCAGGTGGCAGGTCTCACCTCCAGCAATGCCTGGAAAGATTTTTTTCAGATTTCATTTTCTGCTCAGAAAGTAAAGTTTGTGGCAGCTCTACGGAACTATTGTTTCCCCATTCACTCCAAGAAATTAACGTATTTTTTGGAAAAGTGGAAAAAAAAAAGGAAAATTCATGTCAGAAATATAAAATGGAAAATTCCTGTTAAGTTCTGGTTAATAGAAAGGTGTTGCAGCGGAAACAGCCAAATCTGTGGCCATGTCTGGAGCACGCTACATAACAGGAGATAAATGTATTTTAAAAGAGCTTGGGGTACTTAGCTGTTAAAGGAGAAGCTGAGAGCAGGCATATGAACCAGACAAGAGAAGAGAACTCTTTAATGAATATTCTTGGCACAATAATAGAGGATATACGCTGGCCAGGAATAAATTTAGTTTGACAATTTAAAGACCATTTTTAATCATCTGAAAGCAAGGCTCTGAAACAACTTTCTAATAAGAGCAGAGATAAAAACCTTAACTAGTTTTAAGATGGAAGCTGAGGGGTTTACGAGAAGGGTTCCACAGCGTGGTGCCTGCGGTCGCAGAGCGCTGCTCTCTGGCCTTACAGAGCTCCCTCCACTCCCTGCGTTTCCAAGTCAGTCCCCAGGTGCTTGGCTAGACTGCCAGGACGTTTTTTACATCTCTGGGAATGCAGCTTTTAGTAAGTGGGTTTGAAAGTAAACATGCAAGGAGTCCGCTCATTTTAGTGTGTGGGACGCAACCTTCAAATAATGCCGTCACGCTTGCGGGTTTCCCAAGCTCTTGGTCAAGCGATGGGAGCCAGACGACAGCGTGGTCCAGGGCTGAGGCACAGGGGCCAACTCGGCCGTAGGGGCCTCTCCTGCTGATTTCATGTGTGGCTGAGGGTGTCGATGAAGAGAAGCTAGCCCACCCTTTGGCTAATTCTGCCTTGCCAAAGGGACGCTCCTTGCTTCCCGAGAATTATAGCGAGAACAGAGAAGCCAGGACAGGTTTGGAAGTTACCATCTCAGGAAAAGATGTGGCATCCCTCATAATACTATTTGGGCTCAATGAAGCTGTGGTAGCTGGTGTTAAAACAGGGAGAAGTTGGTCTTCATCCGATTTAAACTAAAACTCTCTTCCAAAACCAAAGGAGTGTAAATAAATACCCCTACTGTAAATTAGCTTTAGGCTCTCTGACGCACTGACAATGTTCCATTTTAGTGATTTTTGTAATGAGCAGGAGGGGAATAATGTGGATTTATTTAATCTGGTGAATGTTGGTGCTGTAGAACGACAGTTGCTCTCTGTCAGCATTGTTGAGCTGTCGTGTTGTGGCATCCAGAAAACCCTCATTGTGTGCTTTATCCACAGAGCTGCCATTGTCACCAGTGCATTCTGTCCCCCCCGACTTGTTTCTGCGACTGGCTGGTACAACACACTTGCTAAAAATATTATGCTGTTAAATATTACATGAGTACTTAGAGGCATCCTAACTCACATTCACTCTTTTGCCAGTGCAGCTGAAAACCTGTCAAATGCCAAGTCCAAGAAAAACCACAAAGAAGCATGTTAGCGTGATGAAGGTTGTGCAATAAAAACAAAGGGTTAAGGAGGAAGGAACTTAAGTAGAAATGTAATTCAGTGTTCAGAGGGCATAGCTGAGCCTTTAAGAATATAATGCTTATTCCATGTCGTTCACTAGTAAGCTATTGATGTATTTCTACGGCCTGCGAAGTCAGCTGAAATCTTTAAGGAACAGAATAAAGACTTCCTTTGTCTTGAGGTGTTCAAACTTGAACATAATATACTAAAATATGTTGAGAGTCAAAGTAACAAGGAAAGAGAAATGACAGGGTTTGAGTGTGATTAGGTTTGTAAAGCTGAAGTGAACTATATGTCTGTAATCCAAAAGTTAAAAAAATATTTTGTTAATGTGTGGCCAGTGATACTGAAAATACTTAGTATAATTTGAGGAGAGTTACTATGTCAAAGAGTGAATGGTACCTTCTGCATTGCCTCTGTGAAATATGTATCATGACCTTACTAGCAATGCGCGAACTTGTGTGTTTAAATAAAAATACAAATCCGAGATTTTGGTGAGGATAAAAATTAAGTGCAGCCTGCCAAGGGCCTTCAGTTGCTGAAGCTGAAAGGAAAAAGAAAAGACAGTCCAAAATCTGCCAAACAAAAATGCAAATACACCCTCCCCTACATACCCGCTGCAGAAATGTGTAGATAAATTATAACAGACGTACTGTTACGCTCAGTTTAAAACAATCCTCAGTGCATTTCCAATGTATGTACATTTGTCTCTGAAGGGAAGAGAAAAATTTTTGACTTGGGAATTAATGTATTTTTCCTAGGATAAGCAAATATGTAAGAGGTGTGTTTGAAACACATTGCAGTTGGAAGTGCCTCTAGCTGAATTACCCCTTTAAGGAAGCTTGCTGGGCTGCTTTGAAAAATACTAAATAAATAGCACTTCCATTTAGTGTATGGGTGACCTGGATAATAGATGCAACCTTTTGCTTTGCTGTATCTGTTCTGATGCAGCTGCTGGCTCCTTGGAGGTATCTGTTTTCAGTGGAGCGTTTTGAGTGCTCGCTGTCCATCAATTAAGTAGAGCTCTCCACACAAAGCTTCACAAGACTAATGCTACCGTGCCTGGAACGTGTGGATTAAACAAAAGATTGGGGCAGTGTAAACATCCTCCTAGGGCTTATTGATGCTGTATTAAATTAAATGCTGATGGATGTATTCAGACTGCTCAGCTGCATCAAGAAAGGCTGCTTGTTTTAAACACTTAAGCATATAATCTCCCCTTGATGAGAACATGTAGTGCTATTAGTCTTAATGAGAATTATGTGCATACATTGGACAAGACATATCTGTTCAAGATTAATGCCACAGGTTTGTATAAAACGTCTGCGATCAATATAAACTCTTTTACTCTGCTGTGAAAGCCTTCATCATCATCTTCAATGCCATGTATCAAGCACACCCACTCATCTGTCTGCATCACGGCATGTCTACAAGCAGTAGTTATTGCGAGACAAGCAAGGCAATGGCTTTACAGCATGTCAGCACCTTGGTGATAACAGCCCAAGCTTGTGCTTGCACCTCCGGGCAGATAAAAGCAAACTCTTCTCTGTTGTTCAAGCAAGCGTAACGTCATATTGCCCCAGTCACTGTACGGTCCTAATCTTCACCACCTCCTGTGAGGGAAACACTATTATCCTTACTTGAAAGCAGAGGAATAAAGACTACAGGGTGTAACTGATCTCACAGAAGCCTGAGGTAAAGCTGGGGGTTAAATCCAGACAGCCTGAGCCGCTACTTGACCAGTATCCTACCCAATCTTTCCACTGGAAGACTGCCAAGGACAGGCCCCAGGAGGTGAGGGCAGTAGAATTTCTCATTCTGAAGGAAAATGTGGGTATGGGGGTACTAGGTAGTACAAAACAGATGCAGTCATTTGAAATTGAGAAATAATGGTGATGCTGCCTCACTGCTAGTTCTTATAATTTCACTTCTTGCAAGCCATGCGTTGGTCAATGGTTCACCAGCAATACTTGTAGATAGTAAGCTCATGTGATTAAAAGTATTTTGTAATGGAGTTCTGAGTGTGTTATAATACATGGCAAACAGAATGTCATTTCAGTTGCATAATTCATCTCTTTAGCTGTTCATCCATTACAAGTATCCATATTCATTTAGCAAATTGCGTTCCACATTTCAGAATAATTTGTATAGCTAAATGCCATAGCTTGTCTATTTAAATTCAAATCTTTGCTATAAATAAATAAGTCGAATATTAAGACATTAGAGGACATCCAGAAAATAAGGCAGCTTTCTTACTAGCTAATCAGTATAGCTAGATCTGTGCAGGACTTAGAATATGTTGATGTTTACTCTGATTTTTCCAACTGCTTTCCTGAGGAAATTTATGTTATTTCTTTTTGCCTCTGTTCCCCCGAGTGAAAATTAAGAGAATGGTTCGCACTCCTGTGCGTTGATTTTCAAGTACACAATACAATGTCAGAACAAGTTATTAATAGCTTATTTTCAGTGAATAAATGGGCCAAATTTAGTAAATATATTAACATGATTTTTCCCCCAACACTAAACATTAGGTGTTAGATGGTACCCTGCAGATACTGTTGATGTTATCACCAGCCTCTCAAAAAGGTGTAAGCAAATGGATTGTTTATTAAAAGATAAAGTAACTACCACACCTCATTCATATACTGTAAAGTTGGTAGCAATATATTCTCGTTTAATCCTTCCAGATCCTTTCAGGTTGCTTTTTCTTGTTGGGTCAGACACAATAAATCTGAATTAGAAGCCTAGCCTTGCTTCAGTCAAAATTAGGCTGGTTGCAAAGAGATTTCTTCCTCCTCTTCTAGATGGTGACAAGGCTGACATTTCTGCCAGTATTTATCCAGACATAAACATCATTGCTGGAGCACTGAAGCTATACTTCAGAGACTTACCAATTCCCGTGATCACCTACGACACCTATTCCAAGTTCATAGAGGCAGCAAGTAAGTACTGCATAATAATTTGTACTGATCTTTAATTACATTTCCCATAAAACTGCCCAGACAAGAAGGACCACAAATTGGAAGCAAGGATGTTGTTTTGTTCGTTGCTTCTTTACCATGTCCTTCTTTCACATGAATCTTTCACCTGTGAATTCAGGCGCTCATGCAGCCCAGGAGGCCAACCGCATCCTGGGCTGTATCAAGAGAAGCGTAGCCAGCAGGTCAAGAGAGGTGATTCTCCCCCTTTACTCTGCTCTTGTGAGACCCCACCTCGAATACTACATCCAGTTCTGGTGCCCCTACCTTAAGAGGGACGTGGATCCGTTGGAGCGTGTTCAGAGGAGGCCACAAGGATGATCCAGGGGCTGGAGCACCTCTGCTATGAGGACAGGCTGCGGGAGCTGGGATTGTTCAGTCTTGAAAAGAGAAGACTTTGGGGGCACCTAATAGCTGCCTTCCAGTACCTGAAGGGAACCTACAGGAAGGCTGGGGAGGGACTTCTTACAAGAGTGTTCACTGATAGGACAAGGGGAAATGGGTTTAAGGTGAAGGAGAATAGATTTAGATTAGATCTTGGGAAGAAATTCTTCAGTATGAGGTTGGCAAGACTTTGGAATAAACTGCCCAGAGATGTTGTGGCTGCCCCCTGCCTGGAAGCGTTCAAGACCAGGTTGGACATGGCCTTGAGTAGCCTGATCTAGTTGAGAGGCGTCCCTGCCCATGGCAGGGAGGTTGGATTAAATGATCCCTAAGGTCCCTTCCAGCCCAGGCCATTCAGTGGGCCAATCAAGTGGGACACCATGTGGGTTAAAAAAATAAAAGTAAATATAGGTTATCAAAATAACTGACCAGTTTCAGAAAGTGTCTTTTCAGTGTCCGTCAGTGAAGCTACAACGTGCCCTTGGATGGGGTTTTGAGTGGAGTCGCTCTTTTCTCATAAGTGACTCAAATTCTGCACCAAGAGGCAGAATGTCCAGTGCCATTGCAAGGACTTCATCTGGTGCTGGGAGCATCTCAGGGCTGGTGTCACGTCTGCAGTGCTGGCTGCCAGACACATGCAAAGCAGGGTGATCAGTGAGGTGTCAGGGTTGAATGAAGCCTTGAGCCTTGAGAGTGTGTCCCATTTCCCTTCCGTTTTCCCCATCTCCCATATTCTGGTCTCCTTTGGCAACAATTCTGCACTGCAAACAAGCACATCCACCTCCATCAGTTGGTGAGGGATCAGAGCGATGAGACACCCCACAGAGCACATCAGCCCCACTGCTCAGGTACATCCACTGTTCACTAAGTCCATGTCCACATGGAGGCACGTGCAGTTACCCCCCTGCCACAGCTGGCAGGTCGTGGGTGCATGTTGTCAGGGAAGGAGGAAGGACAGCAGCATTCATTGCCACAATGTTGGCAGAAGGAGCTGAGATTTGCCTCAAATTCTGCTTTCTGGGGCACAGCCTTCCACGTAATGGTAGTCACTAATGAAAACTCACCAGATGGATTGCATCAAAACCAGATTATTAGCAAAAATGTCAAAGGCCTGAGGTATCTAAGGAGTGTGCTTTCTTCTTTAAAAAGTATCCTTCATCATCATCATCATCATGGCTAGGCATTGCAAACGAAGATATGGGAAGGGCTCTACCCACACTTGCTACAAGCGCGCTGATGGCTAAAAAGGCCGATGCAGGATAGGCAAGTCCGGTTGCAAAAGGCACAGCGGGAAGTCTCCTTAGGCGATGTTGGCGAGGCACGGTTCTTTCTGCGTTGCCTTTTCTCCTTGAGACTAATTCTACGTGCATTCTCAAAGGAGACAGCAGCGTTATGGATGGTGTGCCTCCACGTCTCCCGATTGGAGGCCAGAGTGGACCACTGATGGTAGTCAGTATGGCCAAAACTGAGGTATCCTTAGTGATTTTGAAATGGCACCCAGTATATCAATAAGCTGCAGAAGGAGTGTTCTGTCTGTGTAACTGTGCTGCCTTCCCCTCCCCTGTGGCTTACCCCACCTTACACTCCTCACGCAACCACAGATGCCTCTCTTCTGCGCTCTCCTCTTTCTCTTCAACAGAGAAATTTTACTTGCCTGTCACTTGTTCCATAAAGAACATGCCCAGAGAAAGCAGTTCCTATGATGTAGATACACCAGTCTTTAAAAAGCAGGACATAAATATTCTTAAACTTCTAAAATAAAATTTCGGGCTCCTGGTGCCATCTTTGATTCAGTTCACAGCTTAGGAATCTACACTTCTCATGTAAAATACATGCAGGTCCCGCTCAGACTTTAAGAGAGATTGTCAAACAGTCTTAAGTGAGCACTGATGCTCTCCAGTCACTGATACCTACATATTTAAACACATTCAGAAATCTTTGTTAAATAATTCCATGCCATTTCAATCTCTATCTAAACTTACATATTCAATCATAGTCTCTAAAAGCATATATCCACACTACTATCTCATTTTGAAGGCTAATAGAAGTAATCTTATGTAAGATTTCAGAGACAATTCTGGGCAGATTATTACAAAGCACTTAAGAAAGCTCGGGTACTGTACCTATACAGGCCTGTAGACAGAGCTACAGACCATAGAGACAACTATTGGGTGGTCTTTGTTGCTAATTTTTTTGTAAGGCCATTTTTATTGAGGGTGCAGAAGTTGCTGATAAGCTCCATGTCCATGAGTTTAGTATTTATCCCTGCAATCACAGTCAATGGCTTGTAAATGACTCCATAATAGTTAAGTTAGCTTCCTGGATTATTGCTGTTTACAAATGGAAAACCCTATTAACATTAATCCTGTTTGGTGTTTTTGCAGAAATCTCCAACCCTGATGAAAGACTAGAAGCAATACATGAAGTGTTGATGTTGCTCCCTGCTGCTCACTACGAGACACTTAGATACCTAATGATTCATCTCAAAAAGTGAGTTAATTGGCATGCAGGATAAATGTTGAAGAGCTTAACAATTTTCTGCTTTGAAAGACAGATATTGCAGAAAGTGCCAGTAAAGCTTCCACTGGGGCACTGCCACTAAAACAATAATGTTACAAATAAGCTGTATTTGTATAAATGCATATAAGCTGTGTATATATATAGCATACATCCTTCTGCTGGCAGATCATGACAAACTTTTGAAGAGTTAATTGAGATTTGTCACACTTCTCTAAGACAGACAGTGTCTGAAAACGGCTGTAATGGTAGGTACTGCAGAGATGCGCTGGATGTGCTGCATTAAGGCACTTGATCATGCTTTTACTTCTGCCTCCCCAGACCACCTGATTTGTCTTCTTGAACAATAACCCTAAAAGGAAAGAGCTGTCTCTTATAAGTTGTTTGCTCCCATCACTGTTAAGCCAAGAGTCTGGCAGGTCCTATTTTTGTATGGCTAGTAAAAGCAATATAGGCCCTTATAGATTATCTCTTTTGGTTTTAAATACACTGCCTTATTTGCTTTCCAAAGCTTCTTTAGGCATACATAAGGCTTCATAAGGCATACAAAATTTTCAAAAGTGCCTAAATTTCATTTTTGAAAGTGACTTGGGAGCGTACTGAGTTTTCCAAGTTTCCAGCTAGGTACCTAAGAAGATTATGAACTGCTCCGAAGAGGATGCCTCACTTTCACTGATTTCAAGCAAAACTGTTTTTCAAAACCATGCTGACTCCATTTTGCTACTTTGGGTGTTAAAATGCTTCAGGAAATCTCCTTTGTAAGTTTTTAAAAACTGAAGCTGAGTGAAGACTAGCACTGTCACCTCAAAGCGGGCCTTCAGTTAAGGATATATTGCCCAAGATATCCCTTGTTTCTGAGTAAAATCTAGGGTGCTACTTGGAAACAACGGAAAAGAGGATAAAGGATGAATAAAACTACTTGCCTTTTGTACAGCAATCCTCGATCTTGTCATAGTTGTCTCACTACTTGCAACAGAGTTGCAAATTTGGAGTATTTTCTGGGTTTGATCTGCACTATTAGTGCAACCTAAAAAGAAAAGAGTTCAACTCATGTAAAATTGCATCAGAGAGCTTGTGTCATGTGCCTTTCATGCTCAATCAGGTTCTCATTATGCAGAGACTTTTCCTTATTTTGAATTAGCTCAGGTCATTACAATTGAAGTTTTTTTCGTTTTGGTGAAGAGTATGTGGGCATGCAGGAACTTCCTCAGACTCTGCAGAAATGAGATGTGAAAATATCCACCCTTGTCAGCACATATGCATGGACAACTCAGGATGGACCATGCTGGCTTTTAAGAAGGCCAGTGGAGGCAGTAGACAAGTGTCCTGCACACAGAATCAGTACTTTCATGTCTCAGCAGCAATTTTTTAAAGGGCAAGTACTGACTTGTCTTCCTTCTTTTTTCATGAACTGCAGTACAGGCTTTGATTCAGTGCAAGACCACTCTCAGGGCCAAACTCAAATGCCAAAGGCTTGCTGGGACAACACTGGTATGATCCAGCTCTATTATATAGAGAAAAACTTAATTTCCCAGCAGGCCTGGCTGATTTTCCAAGTTAGGATTGACTTCTCTATATCTTGGCCAACCCTTGGTGGTCTTTGTTTGCTCCAGTCACACTTAGACTCCCTATATTTGTATTTACATTATGTGACTCACGTCACATAATGGCTCCTTCCTAGAAGTGTGTCTGTTCTCTGTCAAAGGTGGGTGACATTTGTAGCAGCCTGACTTTAGCAAGCTGCCTCTCCAGGCTGCTCCAGGATTCAGCCTGCTCCTACAGTGTGACAAGGAATCAGAACCACTCAGCTGCTAGTTGGCCTGAGGCAGCCAGAAGTGTGTGAAGGGGTGTGTTCCCACAGGCTGGAAGCATGTCTGGGAGCATGGGGGTCATTGGTAGTCAAAATAAAATTTGTGTGGGTATTTGGGAAGCACCCCCACACCTCTGGCATGAGGCGCACCAAGCACAACGTGCCAGAGAACTGTGGTTACTGTAGCCTAGGGGATGACTCTGTACATCATCATTTAAATCATGATTATGCTTTTCAGAAAAGCAACTGCTACTAATGCTTAAGCCCTAATGGACAGACACGTGGAAAAATCATGTAAGAGTTTCACGAGAGGTGTTTAAAGGCTCTGGCAATCACAGCCCCACCATGGTTACATTGTACTTGCTGTGGGAACAGTTACTATACTGAATGAAAGTAAAAATTGTTGCTGAAAAAATGTTATTATCTACCAATGCTTCATGTGAAGCAGGACTACAGGTTAGGATGCCTATATTATTTTCTTCTGAGAAGTAAACAACTACTTACTTTTTTTTTTTTTTCTGTTTTAGAGTTACCTTACATGAAAAGGAGAATTTTATGAATGCTGAAAACCTGGGAATAGTGTTTGGGCCTACTTTAATGAGACCTCCAGAGGACAGTACCCTTGCTACACTGAATGACATGCGGTACCAGAAGTTAATTGTGCAGCTTTTAATAGAAAATGAAGATGTTCTCTTTTAGACGAAGAGAGGCATAGCTTCAAAGCCATTTGTTTTAAAATAATTAGTTTGAAGGAAAAACAACATTTCTTTAATTTTTTTTTTAAACATTGAGGAAGAGTTCCTTGACTGCACTTCAATTTCTGCAAAGTTGCAGATGGATGCCAAAATGTTTAGGGAAAGCCTATGTCTCATAGACATATGCCTCTTTGTAGAAGGGAAAAAAAAGGTCAGAAAAAAATCCTCTTACCTTGTATCTTTTGCCTTGCCTCAGATGTATATTTGTTTTGAGAAGTTGCAAACAATTTTATTGTTAACTTATTAAGAAACACAAAACATATTTTAATATGGCTAGAGAAGCAAAAAGGTACTTAATCAGTGTTACTTGTATACACCTATGCATTTCCCTCTCCATGAGACATAATTATATATGTCAATTGTGAAACAGAACCTATATTATAAAGATATTTTTACTTTAACTAGCTGAAAGAATGGCATTTTATTTTAGCAAACTATGAAATCAGTGCGGTGCATTGATTATTTTCCACTTAATTCTTTCCTGCATTTTTGCTATGATATATTGAAAACAAGTACCACTAATGCAGTATTATTCTGACATACCTCTTTCACTGCAAGTGTTTTGAAGGAGAATTCTTTTCTTGTGTGTATTCCAGCTTTTCTTAGGTTTCTTTGCATTTAGACACTAGCATTCTAAGATTGTAAACTTTTAGCCATTTGCTCTTTCCCAAAACATATAGTATTTTCTCTTTTTTTCTTTTTTTTTTTCCCACTCCCATGTAAAATATGGTATTAAGAATTTTTCAAAAGTCCTGGTGGTAGTATCAGTTTCACATGCCAGATTTGTCTTGGATTACAATAATATGTAAGTTAAGTGATGCTGGGACACTGGATGTTTTCTGGCCTTGTTGAAAAGTTAGCACTTTTGGGGGTTAATTATGAAGGATTTGGTTTTTCTGTAAAAATCGAGTTATGTTTTGTCATGTTTCTGTATTTATAAACGTACAGTAAATCTGCTAAAAATGTAGGTATTTATCTTGAATGTGTTTCCTGATGGTTTGTTTAAAAAAAAAAAAAAAGAAAAAGAAAGAAAGAATGTGTAGGAAATGTGGCAGTTGGTAAATTTAATTATTACCAAATTTTAATATTTTTCTCCCCTCACAAACATTGACCTACAGAGTTCATAGTCTAACTGCAACTTATTCCTAATGTTAAAACTGTTTCTCAGTGTGAGATGTTTCTGCAAGCATAGAAGATCAACGTACTTTACTACCAAACTCAAATTTCAATACAAAAAAAAAAATCTAATAATCCCTCATCTTGATCGTCTGTGTCATATGCTTGGTAACTCAGTGATGCAGTTTCCTGAATTATTTCAGGGAGTACATGTTTCTATTCAAATTGAAAAATATGTGTAACTATGATAATGAAGGGAGTTGGAGGGTATGACTGTAAATTTGTCGTCTTCTAGAGAAATAACCAAGGGCTAGATAGATTAACCCAGATTGCAGAGCGAATGCTAAATAGTCTGAGTTCCCAATACTTCCATAGATCCTCCTGCCTTGTACAGGACTATTTGTTGTAGGTTATGTACTACTTAATGCTGTCATAAAAATGATCTGGAAATGGTTTTATTTTGTGAAGTGAAATATGCTTTGTAATTTATGATAGTGTAAATGGAAGGAAAAATCCCATTAAATGTGTTAAAGAGTTCTGGTGTCTGTCACTCCGACCACATGGCAAGCAGCCAGATGAAAATCAGTCGCTAATTACCGTCCTCACATTGCTGGAAACTTTCCTGCTTGGAAAACTTAGATTCTGCATTTTACTGAATGTCAGCAGTTTCAGATTGGCACCTGGATGCCCACTGCTACCACAGCCAAGCCTATGCGTGCATTGATTTTCTGTGACCACCTTAAACCACCTGTATGTAAAACTCCAAGCAAGCTACAAATCACATCAATCCAATCAATATCCAAGAATCAGGCTATCAGAGCACTTTTCTACTCCCCTGAACACAGGCATTTAACTAACAATGATTTTTTTTATTTTTTTCTGGTCAGTTCAGTAATGAGGGTTTTTTTATAGCTGAGAACAGTATTATAGTACTTTTTTTTTTTTAACTTCTGTAGGAAGACAAGCCATTCTGCTTCTCCCTTTCCCTCTACAGGGAGCCTACCAGTAGCTTTGACATGCTTCACAGTCAGGGGTCCTCAACATATGTCCCATCCTACGGATTTGATGACAGTACAAATTAGTGTACTTAGAAATACCCATGCTTAGTATCTCTGGAGAGCAGAGGCTGCTAATCTGTTGGGCAGAGGGAAAAGTATGATTCTGCATCTTAAAACACAGGTATCTACCGAATTGTTCATGTTTGTCTTGGCTGATTAACCGATGTCCAGCATCCTCAGGGGAACACTGAGCACGGAGGTAAAAGAACCCTGTTCCTTCCACACCTCATTAGTGCCACCTTGTGCTGCGCACGCTTCAGCTCTTGTGTCAGACTGAGCAGCACCTCTGAGGTCTGATCCTCACTGTTCCAGATTCGTCATTCAAGGAAATAAAAAAGCAGCATACTTTTTGCTGCAAACCTGACTGCTAAAACAGAAGAAAAAGTATATTTGTAAGGCTTTACTCCAGTACACTGAATAAAAAAGGTGTCTGCCCAAATCCTTCCCTTTGCCTCAAAACATTCAGCAAGAGTGTCATGACTTACCTCACATGAGGCATTACTAGAGAATATTAAGAGTCACTTGAAAGATGCTCCAGGAGGTTGTGTTTGAGCTGCTGTAACATCCTGGCTATGTCGTTTCATCTCGAGTGGAATGCAGCTCTGCTCCTCTGGAAGCAGGTGAGATACCTGTGTCTGACTGCATCGCAGCCTGCCTGCAGCTGGATGTTCAACAGGAATCTTGTTCCCCTGCAGCTAATGGAGAAGGCCTTTGGGGGAATGCTGGGGGTGCAGCAGCAGCCCCCTGCGGCAGATATCCACCCGTGGTTCCCATGCGCCATTCCGCTAGCCCCATCTTCTGGTGTGATGGGTGCAACTCCGTGGCCCCCTGACAGCTGGTCCTTAGGGGGACCCAAGGACCCTCGGGTCTCTCCTCCTGTGGGGAAGACGAGCTGCCTCACATCAAGCAGAGTTGTTTTAGCCATGGGTAGTAAAACATTACATGAAGTTAATAGTGTGTAAGGTAGGAGCTCTCCTAAGGGCTGCGGAACAGCTGAAATCTTTATACCTCGGTCCTTGTGAGACTCGTCGTTTTCAGGTTTAAATATTTCAAGCCTGCTGGGGCAACAAGGAATTGTTTCCTGAGAAGACCGTGCTGGAGCTAAGGCAGCATGTGCTGCTTCTGACTCCAAACCACACGTGCACTGAAAAGGCAGCTGGCAGCAACACCTGACAGGGATGTGCTGAAGGCTTTCTGCCACTGAGACACAGATTCAGCCTCCTCTACCTAGAGACCAGTTGTTGTGAAACTTAATTACCTCTCTCCCATTGTCAAATACCATTGGAATTGGACAAAGCATGTAGAAGTCACTAAGGAAGGAGAAAAATGTGGGGAAAAAAAAAAAACAAGGAAAAAGAGAGAAACAAAGAGCATAACTGCAGATATTGTTTCCTCGGGAAAGCATTTTTTCACATGAAGTTACAAAGGAGACAGCTTTGCTCGTAACTCACCAACCACTCTGCACGCTGGTGTCAATATAAGCTAAAGAATGGGTCTAATGGAGCAAACCGGGTGAAACAGTACCACGTTCATTTTATTTCTAAGCAAGAGGTAAGACTGCGCTTTCCTATACACTGAACAGTCTCAAAGCTCACACAACATTTGAGCTTAAGGAAGAAGACAAGGGCACTTGGCCTGAGACTCTTGGAAGGAATGTGTCAGGTCTGGGGTGCTTGAAAGACCTGAGCTGTGTCTTACTGTCAAATTCAGCATACGGGGGAGGAAGGATTACGGGTGTAAAACTCTGGTCATAGTGCAAACTTGGAGAGGGAGTGCCTGGGGTTAAAACTAGTTGGGCTGAAGGAAGGCTTGAAGTCACATTGCAAGGAGGCGAAGTGGAGCAGCTGTATCTTTTACAACAAACTTAAACACCACACAGTGCAGATCTGTACAAATGAGGCACTGAGGTGATTAACCATGTTTGCAGAGGGCCCTGCCTGGACTGACATCCAGAGGGAAAGCGTTTGGCTAACGCAGTCAGGCTGCTGCTCTCTGCCCCTCTCTCCCACCTGGAGGTGGAGACAGCCCACAGCCCCTTCTGCTCTACCTTCAGCTGCTGCCAGCCTCATGCTCCCCACACAGAGCACAGGCAAGGCAAAACCAGCCTGCTCACCGGATCCTGCCGATGGCGAGGTAGGTGCTGCCCTGCTGTCTGAGAAGAGACCAGAGAGAGCAAAAAAGGAGACGTGGCTGGGAGGAAGGCTCACAGAAGGGTCCATAACTCGGAACTTCTCCAGCAATTCATGCTCCCCAAAGTGGGAACCACTGGAGAGGCTACAACATTTTCCCTCCATGCTGCACTCAGCTCAAATGTTTCTCAAAGGGCACAAGCCACACGACCGTGTCTGGCCGCCTTCTTGTTTCTTTATGGACAAGTACAGAGTCAAGGTCTGCAGAAAAGGGAGGAAGAGGATTCAACTGCCAGCAGATCCCCCCCTGCCCATTACCAGGACCTGATCAAAACTCTGAGTAGGACGGTGATTCACAAACACTTAACACAAGGAGAAGAATGCCATCTAACTGGATCTTCAAAGCAGAATTACATTGTTCTGTCCCCTAAAGCTGTCTGAAGGGAATGAAGAGACTATGGAGACCCATGGAGATAAGTGAGCTGTCCTTTAGCTGTAGAGATTAATTCCTAGATTAAAGTAAAGATCATGGTTAAGATTCTGAAATCTGAACCTTAGGGAACTATGATTATTGCCGAATACTTTGGAGCTTACAAATTTAGGACATCAGTGGGTTTTAGACAGAGGACGTACTTTGCATTATCTTTCTCTGAAGGCATGATATTCTGGATGTAATTCTGCTGATGCTGCAGCTGGAGCCAGGACTGGAAGTTCAAAGGCTGAAGGACCTTCCTTATTATGGGATGTTGTAAGGACTACAGTTAGGAAGAAAGCTTTTATCACTTGCAGCCAGTGCTTTATAAGCTATAACAGAAATGAGCAGCAGGTCCTAAGTAGAAAGATGGTCAGGGTTCAGTTTACAGCAGACTTGGGGATGGCAGGATCCAAGTTTACCACTGGAAGCTGCCTTCATTGCAAGGCTCTGCAGAGCCTGACAAGGTGGAGGTCAAAGTATTCTCTCTTTTCTTGAAGGTATGAGGCATTTGTTACTACTAAGATGAAGGTTAGGGTGAGGAGTTGTTACTGATTTTGCAAAAACTGCAGCATGCTGGTATCGATAATGATCAACTCACTCTTGCTATTCAATGTGTCAGTTCTCTGGTTAGGATCATGGATGTTGGATGAACTGATTTTTTTGCAAGTCCTGCAGAGCTAGGAAGGGTACTGGTGTCAACAGTCACAAATACCTGTATTTTTCTGTTCTGCTATAGGAGAAGGACCTTAGTATTACCATAAGATACTATCAGGGAGAGAGAGAATATGAGGTTTACAGTTTGGGATTAAGAGAATCCTAGTTTACTG